TAAATTAATATAAATAATAATAATTACCTATTACTGCACCAATAGAATTTAATTTGTTAAGATTAGAAGTATCAATCAACTTGCTTGTATAAATTGCTTCAGGATGAAGTTTGTAGGAGAGTGGCGTTGGAATAGTTAAATCATCAAATATTTTATTATCAAGATGCTTAAACCATTTATGATAATCGTAAATACTTTTTTAGAAGTTGGTCTTTTGTTTGGTTGTTCATCCCAACATTCTTTAATTAATTTAGTTACTAACTCTGGCACTTGTGATGGAATATCAGGACGTAAACCTTGACAAATTTTCAGCGCAAGATATTTGTCATGTGGAGTGTTATAATAGGGCGGAAAGCCTGTTACCATTTCATATGCTACAATGCCGAAAGAATATATATCTGATGCCAGAGTATAATCATTTCCACAAAGAACTTCAGGATCCACATAAGGTAAAACTCCATAAATTTCTTTAGATCTTGACTTATGATTTTTTGATTTACACATACCAAGATCTGCAATATGTAAAAATTCACCATCATATAAAAGATTTCCCGGATGAAAATCTCCATGAATCAAATCTTTACTATGCAAATAGTAAAGTCCTTTGCTGAGATACCATAATGATTGGATCTTATCCCTTAGTGTAATACTATTAAAATTATCATTCATATGCTTACGAAGACTACCTGACGATGCAAATTCCATTACTATTATGTAATTTGATGTTTGAGGATCTTTAGAAATCCCCAAACATCTAATAAAAAATGCGTCAATAGAAACTTTGATGTTTGATTCGATTTCTTCCAAAAGATCCGATATTGAATAAAATGCATTAAATTTCTTTAATGCCACTGTTTGAAAACCTAGACGACTCCACTGTTTCTCACTCGAATTCCAATGACTGATTTGTCCGTCCAACCAAATAGCTGAATATATAGATCCAAATCCACCTTTAGCAACAAATTGTATAAGACGTAATCTGTGATATGGTATCCACTCAATTACCTCATCTGGACTTCTTGCGGAGAGTTGGATTTCTTGAATAAATTTATCAATATCGATATTATCACTGGCCCATTTTTCAAACTCATTCCGAAAATGGTTTAAATTGCATGGTTTGCACCAACCTTTAGCAATTTCACCGAATAACGATAAACAAGGCTGATTACATTCATTACATTTTTTTCCATATTGGAACAATAATTTTTCAACGCATAAATGAACTTCACGATCCCAATATTCGCATTTCTCTACATCGCATGATAAATATTCAATATCATCTTCGTTATAAATTGCGTTCAAATAAAATTTACGTTCTTGAGTTCTCGCAGATCTGTAAACAAAACTTCCATGAATAAATTTATAGTATGGATCTATTGCTAATGCTTTTTCAAAATCTGCAAATGCTTCTTCAGTTCTATTAAGCTTGCAATAAGTCATTCCTCGAATACCCAATGTCCACGCATCATTTGGATATATTTCTAATGATTTATTTAAATCTTTGAGTGCTTCTTCGTATCTCTCTTGCATGCGATAAGAATCTCCTCTGAATTCTAATGCAAACAGATTAGTTGGATCTATTTCTAATGATTTAGTTAAGCTTTCAATTGCCTTTCCATATTCTCCTAGCAGGCGATAATTTTCTCCTCTATACATCAATATAAATGCGTTATTTGGATCAATTTCTAATACTTTGTTCAAAATTTTTTGTGACTTGTTTAAATTTACCGATGATTCAATAGATTTATTTTTTTTTCGTAAGTATGGCCCCAGACACGTAATGCACCTGCATTATTAGGGTAGATTTCTAATGACTTATTTAAGTCAGCGAGTGATTCTTCATATTTACCCATATAGTAGTAAGTACATCCTCGACGATACAACGCATGCGCATAATTCGGTTCGATTTTCAATGATTTACTTAAATCTGCAAGCGATTCTTTGAATCTTGACATTCTAGAATAAGTTGTTCCACGACTTTTCAATGTCAATACATTATCCGGCTTGAACTCTAATGAATTATTTAAATCTGCGAGAGATTTTTCATATTTATACATTTCACGGTAAATTGAACCACGAATTCTTAATGCAAATGCATCATTTGGTTTAATTTTTAGCAATAAATTTAAATATACAAATGCTTCATTATATTTACCCATCATATAATAAGTTTCTCCACGAATACTTAATGCATCTAGATTATTTGGTTCGATTTCCAATGATTTATTTAAATTATTAAGTGCTTCGTAATATCTTCCTTTTTTGAGATATATTTGTCCCCTTCCACCCACTGCCCATTCGCTGACAGACTCAAGTTCAAATGGTGTCTTAAAGTATACAAGCCATTCTTCATATTTACCCAATACACGACAAGTTGCACCTCTGCTTCTTAAGGTAAATGCATCGTTTGGTTCAATTTTTAATAGCTTGGTAAAACTTTCAAGTGTCTCTTCATATCTGTCTATCATATGAAAGATTTCTTTATTTGTTACTATTAATGAATTTTTTGATTCGATTTCTAATGATTTATTTAAATCTGCATCCGCTTCTTCACACTTGCCCATCTTGTGATGGATTTTTCCTCGGTTCCGTAATGCAAGTGTATTATGAGGATCAATTTCTAATGATTTTGTTAAAATGAAATTCGATTAAACTTTACAAAAGTTGCCGAACCTGATAAACATGATTAAACAACACTTCGCCAAAAATGTAATTATTGCGAAGAAACTGTGTTGATTTAGTTGATCAAATAATTCATTTGCAAAAACTTATTCAATGAGGTTTAAATTGTAAACCTTGGACTTTCAATACCAACAAATGTAAAACTAATACAAATGAAAAGTTGTATTGGCGATAAGAAATTTTCGCATTTAAAACGTAATAGCTTCGATAAAAAATATATCAATTTTTTTATATTATCATCGTCTTTTAAAAAACAATTTTCTCGGCTGAAGATTAAATCAACTAATCAGAAGTAATATTTCTGGTTAAAAAATAAGTTTAAAAAACTGGTTAAACGTTTTATACTTTCCCTAATTCAGGGAAAGGCTCGCATTTTATGCGTGAACGAAAGAACTATAGTTTGTTGATAAAAGGATGAAAACTAATATTTGAGGTCTTTTGCCTTGTAAAATCACCTTCCCGACATTTCCGATCGGGTCAATTCTACCGGTTCATGTTGATATGTAATTCATCTTTTACATTTATTGATTCAATAGTTTATCGAATAAACTATTGAATCGATAACATCACATCAGGAAGTTTTAAAATCAATATTCAACTCATTGTTTAATTTGAAAGAATAAACATCGTACCTTTAAAGATCATTACAATATACAACTAGATATTTAACTACTTAGCTAAATAACATATGTACATTGTATATTGATGGTTTATACATTGTAATGTTTAACGAAGCCCCAGTTTTTCAATGCTTTTTTTACATTAATTAACCAGGGTTAATTATTTAGATTTATAACTTCGTGATGAAAGGTAAAAGATAAATTATACATATCAACTTGAACCGGTAGAATTGACCCGATCCGAAATGTCGGAAAGTGATTTTACAAGGCAAAGACCCATTTGGGTTAGGTTCTGAAAAAAATATTATTAAGTTTTGCGGAAAATTAATAAAAGACATAAGAAAATACAAAGGCTATGCAGCATTATTTATTACGCAATACAGTATTTATTCCTTAAGTGAAAAATTTTTCTGAGTTAATTTTGGATTGGCCCTTTTACCATCACCTAACCCATTTAATAAACTGAAATTTTATTGCTTTCTTAATCTAGGTTTTTCGTAGTTTTCTAGGATCCTGCTCTAGATCTAGTGATTGGACCCGTCAAAAAAAACGCCACCCGGGTCACTCGCGGGTGGATCCATGAGCCATCCGTGTTCTACCTGGATAGGTTAAAAAGCAACCCGTCGGGTGGACTCATGAGCCACCCGGGTGAAAATAGATGTCCCCTGTTATTACGCATACAGTATTTGTAATAGTTATATCCTTGGTATATAGTTTGTTTTAAAAGTCTAACATTAAAAATAAAAGAGTAATTTTTTTGGATCGAGTAGAGAATTCATTGTTTATTATGTTTGATATGTAAAAAATGTAAAAGAAATTCTTGAGCGACCTTTATCAATGGTAAGTTTTTGAAAGAAAAAAAAGTTTGTATCTCGCTGGCTTTTTCATCGAAATGGTAACGTACCTCCGATCCATTGAGTGGGTGCTTGAGGACACCCGTTTTGAAAAGGTTCTTTTTTTAAAAAAAAGGACATGTTGTAAGTGGGAATGGAATCATAATAGGTCGGAATCCATTTAGATTAGAACGAAATAATTATACTAAAAATCCAACCCTAACCTTAAAAAATTCCGAATCAACTTAAATTCGGTTCCCGCTTACGGCATACATATTTGGATTGAAGTTTAGTAGATTATATTTGATAAGCATATTTGTAATAAAGATCAAAATAGAACAGGAGAAAAGGATGGGTCGAGATGAATGAACATCGAATAAGAATACTAAAAGGAAGTTGTATTGCAATTATTGTTCACGGGTCACCGTCGGGTGACCCACCCGGGTCCAATCACTAGATCAATTGTGACATTCAACCAATTTCTACAACTCTTATTAAAAGTCCAAAAAAATTTCTTCAAAAATAATAAATGCTGGATATTGAGATGATTGTCGTTGTAAAATTTAATAAATGTAATATTCTTGTGAAATAGGAATACAATATTACGTAACGAAACTTATATCAATTCCGTACGTAGAGACTAAATGGACAATGGATTATCTAAATGCATAAAGAAAATTTCTAACCTATTCGGTAAATTTAATAGTAGTGCTCACGACACAAGCTTTTAAGTTACAATGGATCTACCGATTTACCGGATATTCGACCGCTTATATAATACAGTACATAATAGTAATACGGAATTTGATGGGAAATATCTTAAAAATGGATAGTTTTGTTGATCGGAAATTCATACTTTCTCGAAATGTCTTTCACAGTTTTAATGGTACGTATTTGTAAAATTTTACGTCATTCAAAATAATTCAATCATTTACTTTTTTTTATTAAACTTTTATTTTGAAATAATTAGATAGCTGAGAAGCCTTCTCTTGCTGAATCAATAACGAAGATTTTAGCTCCTAATGGTCGGGTACGAATAATCAAAATGCGAATTTACAATTATAACAATTAATAATTTAACAATCATAATTAAATTATTTAACAATCATAATTACATTAATAGTATAATACTCGAAAACAGATTTCTCCCGTCCATGAATATTCTGCAGAATTTCGTGGTGCTATGTGCAAATTTAAGTTTACTTCGGTCAAAGGTTGCTAATTAGATTATTCGTTTTTTTTTTCTTTTTTTTTTTTTTTTGATGAAGCCGCTATATTTATTCAATTTTAACCCTTAAACGTTAATGACTTTTAATCAATGTTTATTAAATAGGACATGTTTATAAGTAAGTTTAAAAAAAATTTATTATTTTTTTTAAAGAAAAGATTCAATTGATATCTTTAATTAATCGTTAATAAATATTTTCAGTTTGGATTTTACAAGAGAATTTAATGACTGGAATATTGACCCAATAGGGTTATTTACTGCACGAACATCGAAAGTTGAAGCTTCAAAGGTACGTCTCAATTATTGTTTTATTATCTCTGTCGAGTTTATGAGAATGAAAAAAAATTAATGTAACTAATGTTTTAAATTTTCTAATTTATAAAATTTTTCACGTACATATATTCTTAACTATGATCACGTTTAAATTATCTTTAGTCAGGAAGTCTTTGCCATCACTTACAACAAGAATCAAAAGGTAATTCTTTATCAGATGACTGCTGAATTAAAATATTTTTATCTTAAACAATTCATTTCAATATTATTAAAATTAGCTGTCGATTATGTTATCCTTTGGTTGGATTGTGATAGAGAAGGTGAAAATATATGCTTTGAAGTTATTAAAAACGTTCGTCAGGGCATGAAGCAATTTCCTGATGGTCAAACCAAGGATAGTCGGATTTTACGTGCAAAGTTTTCTGGTATGTGTTAAACTTATAATTATCTTTAAACCGATGATTTTTATAAACATCTATTTCACTCCTTTTTTTTTCTCTTTTAGCGATCACTGCAACTGATCTTCGTAAAGCAATGGATAATCTGACTTATCCAAACGAAAATGAATCCTTAGGTTAGTGCTAACACATATGTATTATCTATTAATTTTAAAATTTCATCCCTTTTTATTGATTTTTTATAGCTGTGGATGCACGTCAGGAATTGGATCTCAAAGTAAACTACAAAATTACAAAATTTAATCGTTATATACATTATATATACATTATATTCAAATTTTCAAAAAAAAAATTTTTTTATATCAGATTGGATGTGCCTTTACACGATTCCAAACTAAATTTTTTAATCGAAAGTACGGAAACCTTGATTCCAATGTGATTTCCTATGGTCCTTGTCAAACTCCTACACTCTCTTTTTGTGTTTCTCGACATGATCAAATTAAATCGTTTAGTCCAGAAACATATTGGACTTTATCGGTTTCTGTAGCTAAGCAAGGGTCTAATGGTGAACAATATGACCCTGAAATACATCTTCATTGGGAGAGAGTTAAAGTGTTTGATAAACATGTTGCAACAATGTTTCAAATTATGGTTAGAGGATATAAGGAGGCAAAGTAAGACTTTTCTTATTTCAGTTATAAATAGTAATAATTTAAATATTAATTTTTTTTCTATCTCAGAGTAGTGTCAATTACTTCAGAGAAAAAGACAAGAAACAGACCAAATGCCCTAAACACTGTCCGTAACTCTTAATTCTTTCACATAGCATGTTAAAAATGCTTATTTATTAAAAATCTTTTTTAATGTCATAGGTTGAATTGCTTAAATTCGGATCTTCAATGCTTGGTATTGGTCCTCATGAAACTGTAAGTTTAATGAGAATATACTTGTTTATCACATTTCTTTAAAGTACTTTATCAATGAGGCTTTTTTTTTTTTGATTGGTTGATATGATAGATGCGCATAGCTGAGCAGCTTTATACTCAAGGATATATTTCTTATCCACGTACTGAGACTACTTCTTATCCAAAAAATTTTGATATAAAATCTGTTTTGAAGGATCAATCAGGACATCCCTCATGGTAAATTGTTGATGAATCTTAATATTCTTAATATAAATTTATTGTTAAAAGGTTTTCAATTATTTTGTAGGGGTTTGTATGCTAAGGAATTATTGGAAAAAGGATTTGATTGGCCAACAGGAGGCACTGATGCTGGCAAGTATATGTAAAAATTGATTTTAGAATAGTGTAGCATTGTAATAGTACCCATTAACATTTTAATTAACATTTTCTTATTCAGGTGATCATCCACCCATGTATGTATTATTTTTGTGTTATATTCAAAAACATAACAAGCAATGCTTATTTATGTTACAATTACTTTAGAACACCTATGCGATTAGCATATGAGGATAGTTTATCTGGAGATTCTTGGAGAGTTTATAATTATGTAACACGACACTTTCTTGGTTCAATCAGTCCCAATTTAAAGTATCAAAAGACAAATGTCAGAATAAAGATTGGAATTGAATATTTTGAATGTTCAGGTAATTTATTAACATCTATCTATTGTTTTCTATAAAATTTTTACCTTCAGATATTAAATTATTTCATATTTGTAGGCACAAAAGTGTTGCAACCCGGATTTTCCAATGTTATGCATTGGTATAAGCCTTATTATATTTTAATATCTAATTTAATATTTAATTTGGATATGTAGTTATAGGCACTAATTTATTATATATTGTATAGGCGAACCATGTCAGATCAAATTATGCAAGAATTTGAACAGGATGAAATTTTAAAGGTTACTGATGTCAGATTGGTCGAAGGACAAACAAGTCCTCCTGACTATCTCACAGAAAGTGAAGTAATTACTTTGGTATGTATGAACAATTATTTATTGTAATTTTTGTAATATAAATATAGATGTGTATGTATTTTAAAAATTTCGATTACGTTTATTTATATTTTTAATTGTAGATGGAAAAACATGGTATAGGAACAGATGCATCCATACCCGTTCATATTGATAATATATGCCAACGAAATTATGTAACGGTAAATATACTTAGTACTGTAATTTTTCATACTTTGTCTATGTGAAGAAGATATACATATATATTTTATATATAGGTTCAGGGTCCTGCACGTAGATTGGTTCCCACTAATTTAGGTAATAATAGTTGTCTTTTAATGTATGTTTTAAGATGTTTTAGGATGTTCAAGGTTTATAGAGATTTACTCTTTTTTTTTGTTTTTTTTTTTAAAAAAAAGGAATTGTTTTGATTCACGGGTAATAAGCGATTGTTTAGTATTTTGATTCCGATCTTGTTACGATTAGGCATTTAGGTTCTTATTGTCTTTTGTTTTTATGTAAAAATAATATTAGATATCGTATCCTTTATAATCACTATGTTGATTTTAAAAAAGAGTTTATTTTATCTCCAATATATATTTGCAATTAACAAATTAACGATTAATTTTATTCAGAAAAAATTGATCCAGATCTTTCACTTCCTACAATGCGAAGCGATGTTGAAAAACAACTAAATTATATAGCATCAGGAAAAGCTAAATACACAGAAGTGTTGGACCATTCTTTAAACTTGTTCGCTGCAAAGTTTAAATATTTTAGAGATCATGTTTGTTTGATAATTGTATTTTCTTTTGATTCTATTAATGAAAAAGAACACTGTCTAATTATTCTTTACACAATTCTAGGTTGGGCAAATGGATGAGTTGTTTGAAGCAACTTTCTCCACTCTTGCTTCAACTGGAAAAGTCCTTACAAAATGCGGGAAATGTAAACGGTACTTATTTTATAATTATATTTATGATATATTTTTTTTATTTGCTTAAATTTTGTTTTTTTTGAAGGTACTTGAAATATATTTCGTTAAAGTATGTATTACATTTAATTTTATTTACTTTATTATCACGCTTGTTGTCTTTAGCCTTTTCTTTATTTTTAATTCATGAAGGCCTGTGCGTTTGCATTGTCCAACCTGTGATGAAACATATTCATTACCTGCAAATGGGCATATTAAGGTATTTTTATCATTTTATTATTTATTATTATTATTTATTTGTCTTGGACTTTATATTCATTTTTATTTTTACAGGATTATAAAGGACTTCAATGCGTAAGTAAATCTTGTAAACTCTAAAGATGAAATAAATGAACCATACGTTAATTACTCTCCTTTTTTTTTTTCTTGTAGCCGCTTGATGATTTTGGGCTTGTATCATTTTCAACTGGCTCTAAGGAGATTGGTTATCCATTATGCCCGTACTGTTATAATCACCCACCTTTTGAAAACATAAGAAAAGGTAGTTAGTTTTATTTAGAATTACGATCAAATCTTTCAATTTTTTAATAAATATATTAATTGTAGGCATGGGATGTAATCGTTGTCCTCACCCTACATGTGCACATTCATTAGTTAACAATGAAGTTTGTTCATGCCACGTGAGTTCATGTAAAGGTCAAATGGTCCTAGATGCAACGTCAGCACCTAGATGGAAATTATCTTGTAATGAATGCAATTTCGTTTCCACATTTACGGATATAGTTAAAGGTATAAAATAGATTCAGCCCTTTTTTTTTTTCTATTATAATTTAAAAATTTAACCAATTTTCCTATTGACTTTTTTTTAAAGGTGTTTCCATATCAAAAGATGAATATTGTGAAAATGAAGATTGTAATTCTTGCATACTAAAAATTGAATTTCGAGAAAATCAAAATAAGAAAGCTTTAAAAGGATGTATTTTATGTGATGACGAAATAACCGAGTTGTTAGAAAACAAGTAGGTTTTGAAATTTATTTCATTTATTAACTCTTATGATGCTAACATTGTCTTATATTTTTAAAGATTTGCAAAGAAAGGTGTTAATAGTAGGGGAAGAGGAAGAGGTGGTTATAGGCGTGGAAAGAGAGGTTTAAGCCGAGGTCGTAGCAGAGGTAGAAGAAAACATTTAAAATCTCAATAGTCTTAAAAAACCAATAACTTATTTTAGGATTTCAAAAAAAAAAAATTACATTTGTAAAACTTTTTATTCTACGTTATTAGATATATATCATAAATTAATAATATTAAAATGTTAAAATGTTTTTATTATATTGATGCATTTAAAGTAACTTTCAACGTAAAAAAACCTTCGATATAAGAAGCTATCAATCGACTCTCAATGTAAGAATTTATATCTCGCTTTACTTTTTATTGTTGTGAAATAAGATTTTTACGTAAATTGTAAAAAAAATTTGCTAAAAAATTTTTCAAAATAATGCTTGAATTTAATTTCTCAAAATTTAAAATGAATAAAACAGCAAGATGTTGAGATATTTCAAGTATATATCTCATCGAGTGAAATTCCTGTGTCTTTGATTTCGTTGCAATCAAATAATAATGCTTACTGCCTAGCCACCACTTACCTTCATTTATTTTTCTCTTGACGGCTCCCATATAATGAATGTGATCCGGGAATTCAATAAACATCAATCAGACGCTCATTTCTTCTGTGCTAATAAAATATAGTTTAGAGTAGAGTTGGCCCCGAAACCACGTGATGCTAATTTGTCACATGTTATAACTTATAAAAATCGACGATCTATTTTGATTTTTTATAAGTAATAGCATGTGACAAATTAGCATCACGTGGTTTCGGGGCCAACTCTAGTTTAGAGAGTTAGTGTTATTTCGTTAATAACCTCTTCATAACTTCTTTACACCTCTCTTTTGATAAAATTTTCTTAAGAGATATGAATTTTGGAGTAGTATTAGATATTTCGATACCCAGGCTTAATTGATATAGTTGATGCCCAAATTGCATAAGAAGTGAAGTTTTATACCATAGCTGTAAGTAGGAACTCTTATTTTTCTTTTAAACAAGGAAATTATCCACTTCTTCCGATGGTTTAGATTTCATGCAGTTCACTTTTTTGAAGACAATTCCTTTAAAAAATAATCATACTGTAGTTGTCTATGGTCACGCGCTGATGATCATAAGAATTGCGTACGCTCGACCAATCAAAATTGATTACATACGCGTAAACAATTTTTTTCGTTAATAGACAGGTCAGATTTTCTGACTTAAATGAAGTTTTCTTGGTAACCTCATAGGCCGACATTCATCTGATTGGCTAATTGATTCAATTGCCCGGGTAACTAATTTATGTACTTTTTAGGAATTCGATGTTTCACTAACAAAAAAAATTTTTTTTAATCATACACAGCTTCGAAAGGACGCTAAC